ATTTATTTATTTATTTATATATACACATAAGATAACTGACTATGCATACACGTAAGATAATTGTATTTGCATAAAAACAAATGAGTATGCGCATAGTTTTTTATGAAACTATCTCGAAGTGATCGTGAACAAGTAATGTCATGGTATTTTGACGTTAGAAAGATTCATAGGAATATCAAAGTAGGTTTCAACACTTATGGCTAGGGGGGGTACTGTTTGATAATTTTTTGAGTTCTTGATAGCTACTCTAATTTGATGTTTCTTAAAACTATAATAGTTGATGCTCCTCTAACGATTAAGTTATATTGGTCAATAACGATAAGTTTGAGGACTGTAATGAGTTATCAAACCTTGATAATCAATCTAGGAGAAGTCGAGTTGAAAGAGGCTATTGAGGTTATTATCGATCTAGAGATAGTCAAGTCGGAAGAGATAGAGGTGAAAACTAAAAGAATTATTAAGGAGACAATAAACCTAACAAGAGAAAAGGCTCTTATTATAGCCAAAGAAAGCCCTACCAAAACTTAAGAAGCGTTACGTGTCATACCCACCACATGATTTTTTTTTTTTTTTTTTTACTTTTGTTATCACTAGTCTCTCTTGTTCAAGCTTAACATTAAATAAATATCAATGTTGACATGTAATCGGTTTCGGACCATGTTAAATATCTCTCCATTTCAATGAAAATATATTTTTTTCAAAAATTGATTCTATATGTGTTAAACATATAACTAGAGCTAAACCTTCCCTCATGCGAAGTATACTTCTGATATGAGTGATGTTCTAAGTACGAGGGATGTCTAATCCCCCAAGAGTTAAGAGTTTATAGGTCTCTTGTTCTAACTTCTTTGAATACATGATAGAGTCCTTCCCAATTAAAAGCTAACTTTCCTTGAGAATGAGTAGAGTTGCTTATGTCCGCCTTTCATTGCACCAAATCCTCAATCAACAATCACTAGTATTGAATCTTTTGTTTGTAGTATTTCACAATGACATGTTTGTTATCCAAGTTTCGCAAGTGCCTCATGACTTGTACTTTGTCAATTAAGTCGATATTAGCGAGAGTCTTTGATTTGACATCATATTATTAGAATAATATGTAATTTGTGGTTTAGGCTATTGGGATACTAACTTCAATAGGAACTATGAGCCATAAATTTATTCTCAAATCGCTAAAAAAAAATTGAATTAAAAGGGTTTGAGAATCGAAAAGTAAATATTTCTCTTAGCACCGATCAAAATTAGGATAGAATGACCAGAGTCATCTTCGGGATCCTATGAAGGTCTACCATACTTATCTTATGATATGCAAACCTTCTTCTAGCATCAATATGTTATTCATTGGTTATCTATACATCAAAGACTTAAATTTAACCTGAGTTTCAAGCTTTTTGAGACTAAGGTTTACACTTAGGTAATCGTTGAATTGAAAGAATTAGTCCACGAAATGGTTATCCATTGTGAAGACATATGTCGAACCATCGAGCATTACGGTATATAATGAATGACTTATTACGGTATATAATGAATGACTTATTCTGACATCGAAGGTCTCTTATTAACATGTCATAATGAATAAACATATGTATTAGTTGTGAGTAATTATAAAATCCACTTAGCAATGTATCATTGAATTGCCCACATATTTCTCTTCCTTGTATGTAAATAATGCTAAAAAGTAAAAGTGTAAAGCAACATATCTTTAGGTTGGAATTGCAACATACAGCCAATTCTAGAAAATTTGATTCAGTAAATTGATTTAGAATTATCTGTTCTTCATGAGGACTCAAGTGAAAAACCTGATTTCATATACTCTCTGAAGTTGATGAACGAAATACTAATAAATAACAATTGAGATGCTTACCAATTACAAAAATTAATGGCAATGTTTGATGCTTTCTGGTCTAAGCTTGAAGAAACAAGAATACCTTTAAAGCATAGCTGGTATCATGTTGGACTTCAGGTTTAACTAGTTATTGGACCAATCTGCAAATGCACTCTATGTGGCAACAAAATGTCAAAATTAAGCTTCATAGTAAAATTAGAGCACCTTAATTTCTCTCAAGAAGATAATATTTTGTTATCACAATCAACATTTACTATATTGGACTTATGATAATGTATCAAACTCATTTAGCAAAAATTGAGAGTTCAAAACTTTATTTGACTTTACAAATCGCGGCAAGATCCGATCGAAACTCACCTTCACTATATATCATTTGGCAAAACAAAAAAAAATTATTGCTTCACTTCTACAAAAATCTCTTTGCATCTTGGTGAACCATCAATCAATTGCATTAATCTAGGAAAATTTTGAAAATTAACAAGAGAACATGAATTATTTGAGAAAAATATAATATTTTGTAGCAATATAGTTGTAATGGCACTACATCAATTTTGTTACTATATTATCATATAATAAATCAAGTTTTTTTTTTACAAAAACAAAGAGCATACAACATTAACTAGTAGGTAAAAAGCAAATCGTTGCAATAAAATCCAAAGAAAATAGAAGAACACGATTACCCCAATGATTTTAACAAGCTTCTCAAGTGGGGTATTTCTATTATCAATAGAAGTAGATTTTTCTATTTTCTTCCTCCCAGTAGTCCAATTCCACACCATAAATGCTCCTATCGCTGCCATCAACGTTGCCACACCAATCAAAACTTTCAGTAGTTGCGCCATCGTCACCCTCACAAATGTCCATGCCATCAACCCTATCACAAACAATATCCTCCTCCACATGTTCGACACCCTAAAGGCGAACCCCTCCTTCCCTGACCATTATCATCGTCTCTCCATACACTTTATCCTTTTTCTTTCTCGTCGGACCTTCGGGTGCCCATAGGACGATTGTATGAGGTTAGAGGTAATGAATCCATGGGTGACATATAAATGAGCAAGTTAGAGATCTTCCTAGACACATGGCTATAAGAAAAAAAAAAGATTATAATATATAACATTTATGTTATGATTAAAATCAAAATTATTATAAATTAAGGATAATGATGTATATTTGTCGATATCATAATTAGTAGAATGCATTGAATATCACAAAATAAGTTCAATGTCCTTAAGCACAGCACCATATATTTGTCATTATATCGTTAATATGATTCTATTCCAAAAGAATTTAGACTCTCTTTTTTTCTCATCCTATTTTCCATACGATTACTGTTATCAATAGAATATAAATCAATCAAAGAGGGAAGAGAAGAGATCAAATGTGATCTTTGATAACTATTTTGATTAGATCCCTAGAAGGTTCTAGAAAAAATAATTAAGAGATTCCTCAAAGTTCTCATAATATTTCATAAGATAAATGGACTTTCTTTTTATTAATCATAACTTTAATCAAAATATAATTAATTATACCATATTATTTAATAAGGGCTAGATGAGAGGGCTAACCAAGCGAGTGGACTAGAGTGAAACTTAGACTCGAGTTGCGAGAGGATGTCATTGAGTTTCACATAAGGAAATCGAATATTTTATTAAGCATCATCATCTTGCTATGGATGTCGAATAAATATGAAAAGTGAGGAGCTATAATACGAAAAAAGAACATGAGCCACACAAAAGTTGTTTCATATACTCATTATAACTTCAAACTCATTGCCTCTCATGGCATAACACCTGAGGTTTATATAGTCCTTATAAATATAGAAATTTTAATATATTTAATATAAATATTTTCTCTCCAAGAGATTATTTTAATTTTCAAAATACATAAGTTAATTTGGTTCAATCTCCTATAGAGCCTTTAATATATAATATCTTTTAATACAATGAACTTTTTTCTGATGCCTCCAAAGGATTAAGTTTTGACTCATATTGTCTTTCCTAAACATGTTGTCTTTTCTAAACTTTATTTTTAATTATTGAAATACTTTAAATTTGAATGACTTTCTAAGTATATTTGTTGTCTGCTTACTAAGTAGCTTAACTTCTTTGGTTTTAACGTACTCCCTTACTAAATATGTTTTGGTCTTCTTGGCTAAATTCTTGACTAAAGGTAATAAGTAACTTATTATCAATATAAACTTTGGTTGGATTTTTTTTCATTGTATATGAAACATCTAAATTGCA